ATACTAGCATAGTTCAAATTTCTTATGAAACTAATTTTTTCTGAAGTAGATAATCTATAATTGTTAATAACAATATAGTTGCACGAAAAACCATAAGTCTTTTCGATTTCGACGTTTTTATACCTTCATAATTAGTTCCTGCAATATTAAGAAAAATGGACATACATTAGTCTGGTTCTCAGATGACGATTTATTATTAAGCTGATTGGTGTCGTCCTCTTTCAGTGAGCTTTGCATATAATTGGTGCGTGTATGTATAAGAAGTGGCCTACTTGCTGCTTTCGTTGAGATCAAAGCTTCACTTCCCTATAAGTACCTGAGCCGAACGTTTGTGTGCAAGAGTGCGAAATATTTGTGATGAAGGTAAGCTTAATCGATGGATTCCAGACAGTTTCGTATTCGTTAAATTAGTGCTTTCATATAATTAATTTTAGCCTTAGTTTAGTAAATAATTGCATTCAAAATAACCCTCTTTTCTGTTCGTTTTTGTTACTGTTTTTTGTTTTAATTGCGCGATATAGACTTGCGACTAAGACAGAAACATCGAGAGAGAGTGAAGTTCGAGTCGTCCGTTTTTAACGGTTCAACGCTGTTTTACTAGTGCTGCTAAAATAATATAATATACCTTTGCCGTTTGCCAGAATTAATTTAAGTGTGCCGCAATTTTGTTCTTATCCTGTTCCCCTTGCCGGACTGAAGACTGAGGGCCCTCTGTTACGGAGAAGACGTGGAAACTTTGGGGTAAGTCGCAAGCCCCGTGCAAAATTTAACTTACAGCTGGAGTTGTTGAAACTAATTATAAACACATATTTTCAGTGAACGTTTCTCGATTTTTCGAACATCTAACAAGTATTGTGGAAAAACAAAAGATAACTGCTGATCGAATCTACAATTGCGACGAGACAGGAATTACAGTGAATCCTAAGGGGTATTCCAAGATCATTTCTTCTAAAGGAAAAGGTCAAGTTGGAGCACTTAAATCAGCGGAACGCGGCGAAACTGTTACGGAGCTGTGCTTTTCTGCAAGTGGAGCTTATATGTCACTGATGCTCATATTTGCCCGCAAAAGAATGCAAAAAGAATTCGAATTGGGTTTACCTCGAGGATCGTGGGCAGAGGTGCACGAAACAGGTTGGATCAACACTGAAATATTCACGAGGTGGTTCCGAAAATTCATCCAAAGCAAGCAAAAAAAACACAGTTTTATTAATCCTGGATGGACACTCGACCCATACCAAAAATATTGAAGTTATCGATTTCGCACGAGACAAGGGAGGTGTTTTGCTATGCCTGGCGCCCCATGCTTCTCACCGTGTTCAGCCGCTCGATGTTTCTCTGATGAAACCAATCAGTTGCTACTACGAAGCTGAAACAAGGAAATGGTTAAGGACAAATCCAGTGAAAGTTAATACTCTGTGGCAAGTTGCATATCTTTTTGGTTCTCCGTTCGTTAATGCTGCAACTATGCGATCTGCAATGAAAGGTTTCGAAAAAACAGGAATCTGGGCAGTAGACATGGTCGTCTTCACAGAAGATGGTTTCTTGCCATCTGCTCTAACGGACATTGATGTTGTTCCTCGACCACAAATGACTGCAGAAGATGAACTAGATTCGATTACCCAACCCCAAAAGTCCAACAACCGCCTTCACCATCATTCGCTGCTTCAACATTGCTAATTATGATGATGGCTTCAAAACCCAATAAACCTATTAAAGGGAGATCTCAACTAGGGTGTTCTCGGTACTCCATTTGACGGTTATAACACCAAAATGGACTTTACTAGTTAAAAAAAATATTTTTAGCATTAAAAATTGCATATAAACATAATGGAAAGATTTTAAACATTTTATTACAAGTAATTCATCCAACTTTTGAAGAGACTGATCAATTTAAAAGTGAAGTCAAAACACTTATTAGTCTATTAACTCAAATTTCGTAATCAATTAAAAAAAATAGAAGAAATTAACTTTGACACAAAACGTTAAAAGGCGGACTTATAAACGGTGTTGGTAAAATATTTAAATCACTCACGGCTACGCTAATTGCATAAATAAATTAATGATGTACATCAATTAGAAAACTTATTAGAAAATCTAATTTCAGTAACAACATCCGTTATCAAAAACTTCAACACCACAATTCAAAAATTATACATCATTATCATTATTGATGAAGAAATATTTAATAAAGACATAAAATTACTTTCAAATTACATAACAGCTGATAAAATCAAGATAATGGAATCAAAATTACAATTTGTAGAAAAATGTGAACTTCTTAGGTATGAAAAGTTATTTGTATATTGGAAATCAACTGGATAATATTCTGAATTCAATAACATTCGAGCGAATAAAAGTTAATTTAATTAATCCCGAACATGTGTCAACCTCTTTGCAAGAAATATTTCAAAATCTCCATCATAAGGCCGGTACAAATTTATCTTGTCGAATTAACTCAAAAGTACCTCGAACCGATTAAAATTTCGAAGAAAAATATCGATAATGTAAAGTCTTTATTACCTTACATACCACCCGTGTATCATTCTTTTTACAAAAGTTTACAAGTGGACAGAACTGAAGATACTTACGGAGCAGTGATATTTTTTAGTTCAGAATTTACTGATTTTTTTTTACTGTAAAATGGTTACATCCGAAATTGTTCTTAAGCGGAGTTCTTTCGTTTGAAATGTTAATATTTTCAATATAAAAATGTTACAAGGCACACATTTGTGCAATAAAAATTTATTTTGGCATGTTCCGTTTTTTTTTCGATTATTCAAGTACATTCCGTAAACATCTACACTTTTGTAACTAATGTAGACGAATTCAAACTTCAAACTAAACAACAATTTCGCATTTGTGACTTGTTATTATTTCACACTAAACCCTTCAATTCTAATTCCGTCAATGTAAGCATAAATTAAATAAATTCATTAATGAATTGACTAACATTTTATAACCACAAGTAAAGTGAATATTCTATTTTGATAAAAACAATCCAAAATACAAATTTTTAGGAATAATTCAACCAGCAGATTGCATAAACGAAGTTCCAGCTCAGAACTTGTTTTCTGAAGAAGTACTTTTTAAGTATGCCTGAAGATAATATTATTTAATTTTAATAGTGGTAGTGGGGTATTTTTGCGGTCTTTCAGTCTCCCCCTCCACTTTCTGGCATGGGATGACCTTGAGGCCGAAGGCCGATGACGATGGTATATGGATGACCTTGAGGCTGAAAGCCGAAAGAGATGACGTAGGTTGGTGACATTCATTTGACCTTTGCATTGCAGTTAACCTTGAAATTAGATTTGTATGGTATGTGAGAGAGGAGGAATTTTACAAGAGAAGATGACTTTCATTTGACTTACGTTTTAAACATTGCAGTTAACCTTGAAATTAAATTTGTAATGTCTATCGGTGTGGATAAATATTTCATGAGGGTGTGGTGACCTTGAGCTAGTTCAAAAGATGAAAAAATATCACATTATGTGACGCCATTCGCTTGATTTACGTTTAAACATTGCATTTAACCTTGAAATTAAATAGTCGTTTTAATGTTGTGTATACAATGACATTGTGACGTGGTGCATTTGAATTGCAGTGTATTTTCTATATAAGAGGGGAGATCAAAGTGAAGAATTACATTTCGTTGTGTGCCAACCCTGCAGTGAGTGTCTACAATAGTGTAAATTTTGTGTAATTAAAAAAAAAGAAAAATGGGTCGATCAAGTACAATACCAAAAAAAAGCCACAAGTTCTAGAAGGAAGAGTACAAGTGTTGGCAAACCTATGCCAAAGGGGACGGAGGAACGTCAGCACATTCAGTATTTCCAATAACCGCTTGTCAGCCAATGTTGTTATGCCACGACGGCTGCTAGTGTTATGGATGCAATAATTCCATCCGATGACATTTTGTCAAGGGCATTGTCGGACATGGGGAACAACACAATCATGGATTTGTCCCCAATCAGTGACATTTTATTACCAAACTCTCCACCGGTTAAGAAGATGGCAACATCTAAAAAATCTGTTGGGTCTTCGAACCGCAGGGAGAATCAGAGAAGGGTAGCTCATCACGATTACGGCAGTTGCTGCAACAGCCAGCGGTTGAAGTAACGGTGCCACAAGAAGAAGCTATATGTTTTGTGTTGGTGGTGTGCCGGGTGGTGGTGCGATAGAAGTTAGTGGGGAGAGGTGCGCGAGTGGACAAGGGAGAGGGACGCCCGCGACAGTGGGAACACGATTGGTGTCCAGGGCAGATGTGAAACCACCACTTGTAATAAAAATCATTTTATTGTTACGACAAAAATACCACGAATCATTAGTAATAGTATCAGAGTTGTTGTAAAACTGTATTTGAAAATAAATGATCAAAGTTGGTTACAAGATTTTCTAGGAAATTTCTTTCCCTCCAAGCCAAGAACCCGAAATAAATATAGGAACTAAATATAGAAAAAAGTTCATCTCAAGAAGTCCGCGTTCTGCGAGAAACTCTCGCAGTTAAAGAGAGCAGATGCGGCTATTGCAGGAGGAGATTGGGACAATACAATCCGAAATTAATAATAAAGTGCGAAAGAGGGATGAAAGTGGAAAGGCTTCAAAAACTTTGAGTGGACGAATGAAAGTGAGACGGGTGAATGTTGAATAGCTTTAAGATGTATAAATATATTATACAAGAATAATTTTTTAAGATATAAATATTTTTTATATATAATTTAATGTGTATATATTATTTGTATAGTCGTGCGTGTTCTTTTTTCCACCAAAATTTTATGTTGATTTCCACCAAAAATGTATTGGTGAAAACGTGTTTGCATCAGCTGATCCTATCACGTGACTCTTTTTAGTCTTTGGTGGAAGCACCCCATATCCACCACAATTTACAAAAAAGAACGCTTTGGTGGAGTACATAACCTCAGATTTTTTTTAAATTTCAGATTATTTTTATATTGTTTTGTTTAAATATATTGTGCTGCTTGAAATAAACCAAAAATATTGAAATGGACAATGCGAGCAAAGCTGCTATTGCATTAATTGCAAAGCGATTAATAGAAGATTCCTCAGAGGATAGCGATGAGGAATTATTATTTAAGGAAACTGAAACTCATTCCACTATAGAAGATTATATCGGAAAAACCGTTAAGAATTATAGTCCTGAAGTTTTTAAATCCCATTTTAGAATGTCCAGAGGTGCGGTAGAGGTTTGTAGTACTTAGTTACCGTTAATTTTAAAATGAATCATGAAGTATTTAATTTATCCCATTTTGATTATTATTATTTTTTTAGCTCTTGTGTTCTGAATTGGATTTTAAGACTGAATTTACCTGTGGTTGGCGACCAATAAGCCCATTACATCAAGTACTGATGACTCTATGGACATTAGATAGGATAAAGGACGATTTATAAACTTACACCGACGTTCGCGTTCATCGTCAGCAACCTTAGACCATACACTAGTGTATGTAGGATGTATACTACATACATATATACATGTTGAAATGGACACACTGTATCTCAAGACATGACACCGAGTAATAGCAGAGAAAAATTCATGAAATTTTAATGTAGACTATAAGAAAGACATAAATTACTTTTAAAGTAAAATAAAAATCTCATTTCATAGTTAGTTCATATAAAAATTAAAATATTATCATTCAAAATTTAACTAATACATTTTAAACGAGAAGCATGTCATGAAATTAAAGTTTAGGTTCGAAGTGGAAGCTTGAAAGAAAAAGAAAAATGCCACAAGAAGGGCCAATTTAATAATTTTCCAAGTAAATAAACGTTAAATAAATTAGTACGAAAGAAAATTCAAATATTATAGCATCAGAAAAACACATAGGCTAGAAGATGCTTTAGGCAACTGGACTTACGTTTTAATATCCAAATTTTTTGCAATAACACCTTTTTTGTTGATTTTATTAAAGTCTGAACTAATTTTTATAAAATAAAAATATAAATTTTTTTCACTTGAGTTTTTATTATTATTAGGTAGTATGTGAAATTTCACTTTGTTTTTTCATGTCTTAATTTCACTATTTTTGACCGCATTGTTTTGATTTGTAGATTCAATTTTCATCATGTTGGCTAAATCTTTAAATACAAATCAGACATATATCTCTCCTATACCTCTTCACACTCTTCTTTTGCGACATCCTGTATAAAGTGAGTTATATAAAAAATCCGAGCAAAAATCAAAATACTAAGAATAAATTTCAGAAGGTGTTGCTCTTGTACCAGACTCTCGAATTGCTGCTGCTAAGTTATTAATCGCATCAATTTCCCTTTCCTTAAATCTTTTTTTATCTTCCCAAATTTCCTTTCCTCTTTGGTTTTTTAAATAAAGATACTCAGGCAAAGATATTTTCTTATCATGTTTTCTAGATAGAAAAGACCCGGTAGATGCAGAGGGTGTTGCAACTGTTTTTATCCTTTTAGGGGTTGCTTCTACGTTGTCGTTCTCACTCTCTTCTTCACCTTCACTGCCTATGTCTGTTGATTGATTTGACGATATGTTTTCATTTCTAGGCAGGGATGTTGACAATACATTCATCGGGGGACAAGTAGAAGCTTTATGCTCTAGGGCAGTGTCAAATAATTCAAAATATTCCCAGGTAATTGTTGACTCTCCACTCTTTTTTAATCGCTTCTCTTTATTATGTTTGTAAGTTTGCAATAGGTTCCTGTATTTTCCATGGCAATCGTCCCACTTAACATTATGCTTTCCTATTTCTAATATTTTGTTTGACACTTGTATCCATAGCTTGCTAATTTTACACTTCGGTTTCTCAAATTGATCCTGCATTGAAAACCTAATATCTAATAATAATTTGATGCTCTCTGAGGTCCATTTAAATTTTTGTTGGCAAGATGTGCTGGGCTTATTTATTAGGCTAGAGCTCATTGAATCTTGTGATTGTTGTGATATGTCCGAGAGTATGTCCATTGTGTCAGTGGCTACGTTTGAATTTATCTCGTTTTCCTTAAGGATTCTCTCAAATTCCAATTTTTCTCCAAGATCTTTATACTTTTGTGGATCTGCAAAAAAAGAACATTTCCCATAAAAACACCTATTCACCTAAGAATTGATAAAATTTGAGTTATAAAAACATAAATTGACTTCCTATAATAGCAACACAATTTTTTGTTTGACACCCAGAAATCCTAATTTACCAACCTGCAGATATTTCCTCAATTTCTTTTGATGTCAGTTTAATTGAATACGACAAATTATTGTAGATGAAATTAACATCCACAGCTTCCTGGTTCTCCATTTTTTATGAATTAGTGTCTATAATAAGCATTAACAAAACCAAAATCACTTCACACAACAAAATAATGGTGTATATTTTTATTTTTTTTAAGGTTATGTTGTGGTTATGTGGTCTTCCAACATAAAAGCACCAGAGTAATCACACAAATTTTCTGGTGGGACTTGGTTGCAGCTGATTTCCGCCAGATGGAATCCACCATACATTCACCAGTAATTTAAAAACGCGGTGTGGTGAGCCACCATATTTCCAGAATTCAAGATGTATAAAAGAGAAAATAAATAAATATATATATTATAATAATAGTCAATATACAGGGTGTTTATTAACTGAATGCCGATACTTAAGGGTGTGAATCCTTGGGTCATTTTAAGAAGAAAACTTAATATCAACATATGTCCTAAACCTCTTAATTTTTGAGCTACAGGGTGTTACAGTTTTAAGAAAAAATTTGCTTTTTTATTATAATTTTCTTATCACTCCAGATATTTTTATGAAATTTTGTACACACCTATTAATCATTAAGGAGCATTGTTTGATGTAAAAAATGTTTTAAAATCTTTGCCAATGACGTCCGTACGAGGTTTGAACTAAACATTTTTGAAGAAAAAAATGGTACGCCACTGCTTTTTCTAAAAACTAAAATTATTTTTAAAATCTCCATTTATTTTACAGCAAATTCGGTCCCTAGACTTACTCTCGTACGACGCACCATTTGCACGTAAAAAAATGAAAACCAAAAAAAGTTTTTTCCCCAAGTTCATTGAGACTGCTTTTGATATTTTGTTGCCATTTTGTAGACACCCACCATGCGTGGAAACACTTTTTGTGGGGCAAAAATTAATTTTCTACTTTCACAAATGACGTTCACGTAGGCATAATATTAAATGTTTGGATAGAAAAAACGGTAAGCTCATTAAATGCCCCCTTAAAGCAAATGAAATAAAAATTAGTAGGCTGGGTAAAGTGTCATAATTTTTTACGCTTCTTTTCGCAATAAAGTTGACATTGATTTTTCATTATTAAAAAATTATTAGAGTAGGAGGTAAAATCTCATAAAAAATGGTAAATTTTACAATCGGTGAATTAGCTGACATGCATTTTACTTATGGGGTTGCCGACGGAAATGCATACGAAGCCAGGAGGATATACCAAGAGCGGTATCCAAATCGCGTACTACCCGATCCGAGAACATTTTCTGGGATTCATAGACGTCTTCACGAAACCGGAAATTTAAAAGTAGACCACAGTGCTAAAGGAGTCCCTGAAACAGTAAGAACACCGGAACTTGAAGAAGGAATTTTACATGAAATTGAGGAGAACCCCGAAACTAGCACGAGGAAAATCGCGGCAACATTTAATGTTTCACACGTACTTGTTTGGAAAATTCTTATCGAAAATTTGTTATATCCATATCACATTGAAAGAGTCCAGGCATTACTCCCTAGAGATTTCCCGTTGCGCATTAATTTCTGTGAGTGGTTTCTTCAAAAGCTGCTGGAAAATCCGTTATTTGACAGGTACATCCTTTTTACCGATGAAGCTAGTTTTTCTCGAAACTCAATACGAAATTTCCATAATAACCATTTGTGGGCGGATGAGAACCCTTTTGCAATTGTTGAATCAAGTTTTCAATAAATGTTTGGGCTGGTATTATTAACGATTATTTGATAAGCCCATTTTTTCTCCCAAGAAGATTAGATGGACAATCGTATTTACACTTTCTTGAAGATCTGCCGCCAATGCTTGAAGACCTTCCTCTTTTATTAAGAAACCAGATGTGGCTAATGCACGATGGCGCGCCTCCACATTTTAGCTTACGGGTGTGTGAACGTTTAAATCACAACTATCGCGATCGGTGGATAGGCCGCGGAGGAACGCAGTCATGGCCGCCCAGATCTCCCGACCTTAATAGTTTAAACTACTTTTTCTGGGGTCATCTGAAAAGCTTAGTGTACGCAGTGCCGATTCAAACCGAAGAAGAGTTACGAAATCGTATAATAGTATGCTATACATTATATTATATTCCGGGAGTTATACGTGCAAATCCGATATCCGGGACCATACAGCTAATTCCCGGTACAGTCACAGAAAATCCCGGTCATACCCATGTGGCTAGATGTTCTTTTAATATGTTGTCAAGATCTGCACTAAAATTTATGAGTCCACGAAACACATCAGGGTTGTCCGAATTTTCTGTCTCGTCGTGTCCGCGAAGTGCTAATTCGAAAGCTCCGCAAAATTTTATGCAATCTATGATTTTAGATAATACATAACGATTTTTCGTTACCTGTTCATTGTGTTTCCCGTATATTATCCCAATATGCAGAATCTAACTGACTTCTTATGTTTATTTTACCTAAAGACTTAATGACTTAAATCTTTCACACTGTATATTGTCCACGCTTTATCCCCACCGAAAAGTAAGCACGGAAAACAAAACAGTGTATTTTTTAAATCACACCCGCACACCCACTCTGCTTTTGTGTATACATTATTGTTAAATTATCTTTTATAACTTTTACTTCGGCTTGTTCCACTAACTTCAAAATTTAATTGTGGTGTTGGCCCATCTAATTATTTTATTTTTAGTGTATATCATAAGGCAGAGAACCAAATAAAGTTTTTTTTTTAAAAAACGAAATACTATTCATTTTAATAACTATAATATCCGTAGACGCCTAAACGAAAATATTCACACGTGCCGCTCGCAGAAATAAACCACCACATACCACGTACGAAATATTACTGCATTTACTGCAGCAGTGGCTGTCGCTGTTGCAGCCGCAAAAGCCCATATCTTCGTGTACTGGGTCACGTGCCTGATTANGCAACCCAATTGTTAGTTATCATTGATAGTTTCAGCCGATATACTAAATTATATGCGGTGCGGCAGGCGACTGCTAAAACTGTTGTTGCTAAATTAAATAATTATGTGGGCCAGATTATTAAGCCGGCCGCTGTATTAACCGATAATGCCCCTCAATTCCATGCTAAAACATATCAGGACTTTCTTAAGGAAAAGGATATAAGAATAGTTCACACCTCTGTATACTTTCCACAGGGCAACGCGACGGAAAGAGTTAATAAAGAGATCGGTCGTTTATTAAGAGCGTTTTGTTTCCATAAACATACCAAATGGGCTTATGTATTAAGCGAGGTTGAGAATTGTATTAATCATATTAGACATGAGGTGTCAGGTTTTACGCCTGCCTTTTTATTATTTGGTACTCAGAGTAATAATAACATTCAGCAAATTATCAAATTTCCCGTGCCCGAAACTACGATAGAACAACCTTTAAACGAGTATTGGCGAGTTGCTTATGACCGTATGCTCAGTAAAGCTGAAAGGAAAAAAAGCAAAATAGATAATCAAAATAATCCTATTTCACTGATACCCGGGGATCTAGTTTTATTAAAGACACATCCCTTGTCATGTGCAGCTACCTCGGAAATCAAAAAATTATTTCTCTTGTACGAAGGTCCATACTCCGTAAAAGAAAGAGTTGGTCCTAATTCGTACTTACTATCAGGATTAAATGGGTCGATCCTGGGCCCTCACAATATTATTAATTTAAAATTGTACAAAGTCGTACCAGATGTGTTGACATAACTATCGAGAGAGTTAGCTCTTTTAGTAAGTTTAGTTTTAATTACTATTTTTTTTTCTTTCTTTTGTATTTCATTCTCATTTCTTAGTTTGAGTATTGAATCGTGGTACCAGTTGGTTTTTGTCCCACGATTAAATAGGGGGGTAATGTGATGCCCTATTTAGTTAGTTACCTATATGTTTTGTATTGGTGGTGTGCCGGGTGGTGGTGCGATAGAAATTAGTGGGGAGATGTGCGCGAGTGGACAAGGGAGAGGGACGCCCGCGACAGTGGGACCACGATCGGTGTCCATGGCAGATGTGAAACCACCACTTGTAATAAAAAATCATTTTATTGTTACCAAAAAAATACCACGAATCAGTAGTAATAGCATCAGAGTTGTTGTAAAACTGTATTTGAAAATAAATGATCAAAGTTGGTTACAAGATTATCTTGGAAATTTCTTTCTCTCCAAGCCAAGAACCCGAAATAAATATAGGAACTGAATATAGAAAAAAAGTTCATCGACCATTTTCCCAATTAATCACAGTGATAATGACGTGTACAGGCTGTTTTAAATTTCAAAGACAAAATAACAAAAATGAAATTGCAATTAGGATGTCAATCATATAATAAAACATCAAAATCAGATTGGGTCTTTGCAAGAAATTCATTGAAATTGAGGCATTAATTAATAATTAAAAAATTAAACTAGCCGAATACTATACGTATACATATATTTTAAACAAAATAAGGTACAGTTTATTATATAAAACGTGGTAATATAAACATTAAAATAAAAATGCGTCATTTTAATTAAAAACTTATTGAGAACTACTGACTACAAAATGCGTCTCTCTTATCACGTAGGGGCGTACAATCCAAGACATGGATATACAATACACAATACACACACGCCTCTACGTGATAATAGGGACGAAATGTGTGCTCGGAGCTCGGAAGACTATGCAGTGTTGCCAGCGTTATTCGAAGCGCTTAAACTCTAACATTTTTTTGAACAATCATCAAAATAATTTGAAATATGTTCATAAAAATACTAACAGTGTTCCCGATATTCAGAACTACCTTTTAAACCCAATGTCCAATTGTTCACATGATTTTCAAATGTTGTATGTGATTTGTGTTAAAAATCATTGCTTTGAAAATTAATGAATAGTATTTTGTTTCAAGCATACTTGTACCAAATAAAAAAACGTGTGTATTACCACTTCATTAATTAATATTCTGTAGTTAAAGGTTATGTTTACTTTACTATGAAGTGTTGACGTTGACTTTTGTTATGTACATGTGGATAGGAAGATTAGGACAACTGGATCATAGGATTTCTTTGTTAAATTTATTTTTTGGATAATCTAATAGATATGTTTTTAAATAGTGCAATTTTAAACTTTGTGATGGTCTTTTATTTGCTGAAATTAATATTTCAATCGTTTGCGGTTTTCTTTATTATGAACATAAAAATTGTATGTTCATGTCAACTCATTTAATATGGGTTGAGAATACTGCATAGTTTAATTTTGATACACTTTTAAACCTAGTTACTATTTTTTGTATTATTAGAATTCATTACAGTTGAGGTCTTGTTCTAAATAATTTTCTTGTCACATGACTTAGCATACCTGCAATTCGTTGATGCTCGCTCATAAATGACTGCTTCTTATGTAAAAGAGCAGTCCCCAAATTATACCTACCTCTAGGAGAATGTAGAAAATATTGGCAACTTAAGTTTAGAACTCAAAAAACAAGACAAGCGTAAAATATTAATATTAAAATTAATTTATAGCAGATATATACAAATAAATAAATACTGATCCTCTGACATCTTCGTCAAGTTTATTTAATTTAGAATCACATACATAAACAAGTTACAAAACCTCGTAAACGAAACCTAAAAATAAGTATATTTAAATCATAAGTTCAGGAAAATGTGTGCAAAATTTCAATTGAATATTTCAAAAAACTTCAAAATTGCAAATTACAATTGAAATTGTAATTTTCCCAATATATATATATATATACTGGGAAACTGATTAAACAATTAAAATTAAAAAAATCTCCAGGTCANAACAAAAACCGCACTGCGTGTTTATAAGGTCCTTTAAGCTTAGATGGAAAGAGGGGGACAACAAATTGGTCCCTCTAAATTTCGATCCCAAACGGTTCCGAGATGTTGGTGGAGAATTATTAGAAAATTGAATGTTTTATGTCGCAACGAGAAGACTAAAAACATAAATTAATTAATTCATCCTGAACCAGAAATACAGTCCACAAACAATTTCAAGAAGTGAATCAAGAATCCAACAGAAGGAATGTTTCAGTCTAAAAGGTAGGTTTGCCATTTGTCTCCAATTGATTACTAATTCAGATATAATTCGATATCTAAATGATTGTTTTTATGATGTAAAAAAAAAGTTTTGCTACCAAATTCGGTGAATTCTCGGCGAAGCTAACACTTGCGGGTATAATTAAAAAAGATATGTAATTTTTTTGTAATTTATTTAAAAAAGTTAACTGTCATTAGACTTTGACAATAGCTTTTCCGAAATTTACGCCATTAAACATATCAATGAAGGCTTTAGGCATGTTTTCAAAACCCTCTGTCACAGTCTCGCGATATTTTAACTTTCCTTCTTGTATCCAAGTTTTGTTTTGTTCGATACCTTCAAACCATCTCTTTATCCATCTGTTGACTAGGAAGCCTCTCATTTTTAACTCATGCCCCACTAACAGCAACTGAACAATGGATGCTAAAAAATTATAACGGATGTTGAAAAATAACAGTTACATCTAAATACAAAGATTAAGAAACAAATCAATAATACGTAAGTATGAAAATAATATAATTACAAACAAAATTTAAAGTCAAGGGGTATCTTAAAAACCAACTAACTATTAAATGGAGGTTACAATTTTAACTGTTTTTCTATAAATTCTAAAAGAGAAACTATGAAAAATTATTTCTAGATTTGTGCCCAACATCTTACCTTTTGGGGTACTTTTCTCATTAGATGCAGATATAGCTCCACATACTGAAATCCTTCCAAACGTATTCATGGAGGACATGATAGTATTACTTATCTCTCCACCTACCTGAAAATCTTACAATAAATACACGCAGGACTTTTCTGCTGTGTGTCCTTCTAAGATACGTTTTTTTTATCTAGAAAAATTGTTCGTGGTATTTTTGGTAAAATAATTTCTTAAAAAGCATAAAAAAGGCACAAAATTGTATATTTTACAGCAGGATTTGAAAATGCCGTTTTAAATTTCGAAATAACTATTACTAATATGATCTACACAGTAAACTGCTTTTTGAAATATACAGGGTGATTCAGAACTGATCTAAAAAATAATTTCGACGTACAGGGCTCTTACAAATACAATTTTGTAAAGAAAAAATCAAAAACGGCAGTTCCAAAATGATTTAAAAATATACTCCTGCACGGCACTGGAAACTGGTCCACTTGACCTCTCACAATGCGACCAGCATGGTGGCAAAGTGTGATAAAAACGAACAAAAACTTTCGCAAGGAAATAAATAAATTGAATTTTATAGTACCTATTTTATATCGGCAAATTCAACTGCTTTAGCCGTCATTGTTATTATTAATTAATAAAATTAGTTTGTGGTTTTAAATAATAAAATAAAATATCTGATGTTAC